GGTAATGAACTACGCTATTCTTAACCATCATTAATTGGACTTTTCTCTCTTAATTGTTACAAGACATTGTTTTTTGTTGTTGTCGTTGTTTTCTGTGCCAAGAAGTCAGCAAGTGTACAACATGATCACCAAAGGACCTTTTCCCTAAAGGTGTTCCTGGGAGCTGCAGGAGACCTGAAGCAATGTTTATATATAGTGTATCTATCCTGGCTCCAAAACTTTATTCTGTTTCTTAGAATGCCTTTTGTCCTTCCTTCTGGTAGACACCAAGTCCAATCAACTGTTTGGGTTCCTAAGGCCTAGCAGAGGCTGTGGTCACTTGGGTTAAATCATTGCCTTCTCATTTTTCCTCTTTTCTGAACACCAGAATATACTTTCTAATAGCCACACAAAAAATAAAATACCTAGGAGTTAATGAAAGAAATGAAGGACCTCTAAGATGAAAGCTTTAAAAACCTGAAAAAGGAAATTAAAGCAGAACTAAGGAAGTGGAAAAACCTCCCATGCTCCTGGATTGGGAGGATTAATATCGTGAAAATGGCAATACTGCCAAAGGCTATCTACAAATTCAATGTGATACCTATCAATATCCCAACCTCATTCTTCAATGAAATAGAAGAAGCAACACAAAAATTAATATGGAACAATAAAAGACCTCGAATAGCAAAACAATTCTTAGTAGAAAGAACGGTGCTGGAGGAATATCAACACCAAATTTCAAACTCTACTACAAAGCCATAGTAATCAAAACAGATTGATACTGGCACAAGAACAGACCTGAGGACCAATGGAATAGAACTGAAGACCCAGAAATGAACCCACAGACCTATAGCCACCTAATCTTCGATAAGGGAGATAAAAAATAAAATGAAAGAGAGCCTCTTCAGTAAATGGTGCTGGCAAAATTGGTTAAACACCTGTAGAAAACTAAAGCTAGATTCTTACCTATACCAGAATCAACTCCAAATGGATCAAAGACTTACAAGTCAAAGCAGACACCCTGAAAAAATTACAGAAAGGAATAGGAGAAACTCTAGGGCTTCTTGGCACAGGCCAAAAATTTTCTTAATGAAGACCAAGAAGCAATTAAAGAAAAGTTAGACAAATGGGATTGCATGCAACTGCAGAGCTTCTGCATGGCAAAGGACAAAGCTAGCAAGATCAATAGAAAGCCCACAGATTGGGAGAAGATCTTCACTAGCCACACAATGGACAAGGGTCTCATATCTAAAATATATTTAGAACTCAAAAAATTAAATCCTCCCAACAAATCCTCAAAGAAACAACTGCCTCATTAATAAATGGTCTAAAGTCTTAAAGAAAATTCTCTGAAGAAGAAATAAGAATGACCAATAGACATATGAAAAAATGCTCAACTTCTTTAGCCATAAAAGAAATGCAAATAAAAACAACATTGAGATTCCACCTTACCCCAGTTAGAATGGTTATAATCAAGAAATCTCATAACAACAGATTCTGGAGTGGATGTGGCCAAAAGGGAACCCTACTGTATTGTTGGTAGGAGTGTAAACTTCAAAAACTTTGGAAAGCAGTATGGAGGTTCCTCAAAAAATTCCACATAGAGCTCCCCTATGACTCAGCAATCCCACTTTTGGGCATTTACCCAAACAATCACAAGGCCATGCTAAATCAACCAGCACAAATATATGTATTGCAGCATTATTCACTGTAGCTAAGATATGGAAACAACCCAAATGCCCCTCAGTAGATGAGTGGATCAAGAAAATGTGATATATATATATATATATATATATATGTATATATATATATATACATACATATATATATATAATGGAATTCTATGCCTCCATCAGAAAGAATGACACTGCCTCATTTGTTAGGAAATGGAAAGACTTTGAAAAAATTATATTAAGTGAAGTAAGAAAGAAACATAAGTCCCATGGTTTCCCTTATTTGCCATAACTAGTATATGTCTAGGATAAGCAGAAAAGGTCAAAAGCTGTGTACATATAATCATATAAGATGATGCTAAGCAAAATGAACCCCAAGATAGGGACACGAGGCTTTTATCTTTCTTGCTGTTGTTTTTAATGTACTTATAATGTACTACGTGATTTTTTTTTTGTTTCTTTTGTATGTTCTTCCCCCTTGTTTTCCCTATACTTGATTCTGGTGCCCTGCATTTGGTATATACATTTTTCTAATTTGGGGAGGGGAAGGGAAATAACAAAATGCTGAAACAAGGATACAGGTTGACCCACTGTAACAATAAGATGTATAAGACACTATACAACTTGCGGGGCGGGGTGGGGGGAGGTGGAGAGAGGAGCTGGGGAGGAGGGGAGGGAAGGGATGGTAGGGGAAAAACAAAGGAAGGGGTAACAATGCTTGATAGGAAATGTATTCATTACCTCACTCATATAACTGTAACCCCTCTGTATAGTATATTTGCAATTAAAAATATATATTAAAAAGTGAATGCACTATATTCCCAGATTTATAGATTGAGTGGCGCTTTGACCAGTGACTTTTAGGACCTGCCTCTGCAGCAGTGTCTCAGTTGTGATGTCACTACAGAGCTCAGATTTCGGATCCAGCAGCTGCAAGGTGATGCAGAAAGGGAAGGGGGAGGTTGTCACCTGTTTCACAAAGAAAATCACCTGGAAGAAAAGCAAGACGTTTCTAAGCCCCATATCTACTCACACTTTTCTCTAATAATTCTTGTCTCCTTCATTGACTCACAAAATCTGAACTTGCTCTCTGATCTTTTTTTTTTTTTTTTTTAAGATCTGGTTTAAAATGATTCATCATTTTGTGGGGAAAACACATTTGCTTTTACTGAGCTCCCAAGCTATGAATTGGCACTAAATGTTTAAAATTTTGATATTCCAAGAATATTTTGACAGTCCTGGGTATTGGATTCAAAGCTTCACTCCTGTTCGGCAAGTGCTTGACCATTTGAGCCATACCCTATTCCTTCTGCTTTTTTAGTGCATGCTTCAGATAGGTCTTGTGAGGCAGGCCTTGAAACCAGGCCCTGCTGTTTGTGTCTCTCAGGTGGCTGGAACTTACGGGAATGTGCCACCACATGCAGTTTGTTTTTGAGCTAGTGTCTCACCAACTTCTGCCTGAGCTTGCCTGGAACCTCAATTCCCCTATCTCTGCTTCCTTAATGACTGGGATTACAAGCATGTGCCACCATGCCTGGATGAATTATAATGGAGATAACTTTTGCCAAGCCAATAATGAGTAAAACTAGTCAGGCAGGAAGGTCATGAAAGAGGTAGTAAGAACTAAGTCACCAAAGACTGCCAGACCACACACACACACACACACACACACACACACACAACTTCAACCAATAGCTATTAAATATTAAATTTTGTGTATGTGGGAGGGGAAGGTGAGGGGGGGGTAACTGGAACTTGAACTCAAGGCTGATCTCAGATTTTCCACTCAAGGCTAGCACTAGCCCTACCATTTGAGCCACACCTCCACTTTTGGCTTTTTGGTGGTTAATTGGAGACGAGTCTCATGGATTTTCCTGCTTGGGCTGGCTTTGAACCTTGATCCTCAGATCTTAGCCTCTTGAATAGCTAGGATTATAGGTATGAGCCACCAGCACCAGTCTATTGAACCTTAAACTGATGCCAGTCTGTTTTAAAATCTCTTATCACACCTTCTTTCAGATATATTTAGGGGTGTGTGTGTGAATTTGGAGTATGATCTAGTGTTACTAAACATCATCAAGAACATTAGGTTCTGGGGAAACAGGATTTTATTAGCTGAGATGGTCTACTAAGGTCAGTGTCATCAGCAAGCCGCTAGAGGGCGGCAACTGGAAAACAGAGTAGAATTGGTGCTGGTTTCAACTCTGGCTGGTTATACTATTTGGGACATTCTAAACTGCCATTCTGGTCTACTTTTAAGATACATAGATTTAAAAAAAATACTTTGTAAAGTTCTTAACTAGAAAACTCCGTGGCTTTATGATTGATGCTTCTATTTCCACCTTTTAAAGTCTTTATATTATTACTTGCTCTCAGATCACCAAGAACTGGGAGGTTAGTGGAGATTCTGCTGGGATTAAGCACTGTTATTTCAGGCCTTGCATATCATTTCCTGGCAATAGGTATGGTAACATTTTCTTGAATAAGAGCTTGCTCTTGAAACAGCCAATGAAATTATTTTATTTTATATTTTTTTTTCACAAAGGATGTCCCCCCAATACATATGTAAGCTGCTCTCACTATTTTTCCTTTAAAGAAAACATATATGGTGTGAATATTAGATGCCCTACCAAAAACCTAACATCATGGAGGTATTCATGAAGAAAAACTGGCTTGGGCACCAAGGACATTGAAAACATAGAAGAGTCCAAGTTGGTTGTGAATTACCACAGTGCCATTAGACAGAGCCAGTAATTCACAGTTAGTCATACTGTTCAATAGTCACCATTATAAACACATATCTTAACAACCGACAGTTACTTTAAACCTGAGTCATGACTAAAATTGAAACTTTTTTTTAAAAAAACGTTTAAGTTCTTAAACTTTATAATTATTGCTTAAACCTAGAACATTAAATTTTCTCTCCCCATGAGTTTCAAGCAGGACATAGCTGAGGAATACCTACTAATGATTTACTGCTCACGTCGGACAAATCATTGCGTCCTTCTTGTTCTCATATCCAGGTGGTTCAACAGGTAATTGACGGTCCCAATGGAAGGTGTGGAATAAACCTTAAACGGAGTCTGTTCTAACACTGCATGAGCTTCGTACCTATGAAATGCACTTGGCTATCTAAACTGGAAAACACTTCTGAAAAGTATCCCATTTACAGAACAGACTTTTCAAGGCACAAACAGGAAGACTGCAGTCTTCACGAAGGTGCTGCTGATCCAGTTACTCTCTGCCAGTATTCGACTTCACAAGAATAAATGTCTTTTTATTTTGTACGGAGCGGCTGTGAGTGTCCGGCGTCCCGCGGGCCCCGGGACTGAGCAGGGAGCCCCGCACTCAGAGCAGCAGGGAGCCCAGCAGCAGCTCGCCCTGGCCCAGCCGGCGGCCCCGCTGCAGCCCATGGCCCTTGAGCTCGGCCTGGACGCGCACGGCCAGGCGGCGCAGCTGCTCCTCGCTGAGGCCATCGAAGCAGAAGTCCTGCTCCAAGGCCGCCTGGCGGCTGCGCCCCAAGCCCCCGCTGCTGGGCGCGCGCCAGGCGCCCGGCGGCTGCAGGACCAAGCGGAGGCGACAGGCGACGGCGCAGGGCTCCAGGGCGCCCCCGGCCGGGCCCTGCGCGCGCAGCAGCCGCAGGCGGAGGCGTCCGCTGCCCGGACAGTACTCGGCGGCCAGGCGCAGGGCGCAGCCGGCGCGGCTCAGGGGCACAGTGCCCTCGGCCTCCAGGCGCTCGGGCCGCGCGGGGGCCGAGGTCGGGGGCTCGGAGGAGGCGGGGCCGCCCTGGTTCCCGTCCCCGTCCTTTACCCTGCCGGAGGCGGAGCGGGCGCGGGCCGGGCCTCGGCTCCCGCAGGCGCGCAGCGCGCGGCCCAGGAGCCCGTCGGGGGCGCGCAGGAGGCGGCGCCCGCGGGGCCGCGGGGCGACGGAGTCCGGGCTGGGCTGGGGGCCGGCGGGGACCGGGGATGGCGGGGACGCGAAGGGGGCGTCGCGCTCCCCTCCCGGTCCTGGTGCCGGCCTCACGGCGCCCGCGGAGTAGGTGTGCGCGCGCGGGCGCGGCGCGGAGTGGGGGCCCGGGGCGCGGAGCGGCGCGTCCCCGAGGAAGAGCGACTCCTTGCGGCGCGTGTGCGGGCTCTCGAGCAGCGCGCAGAAGCCGTAGGCGGTGCGCGCGCGGGGCAGGTGCGGCAGCGAGAGCGCGGCCTGCGAGCGCGGGTCCCAGTCGGTGCCGGCGCGGCCCGCGCCCTCGTCGTCGGCCGATCGGGGCCACAGGTCAGGTTCGGCTGCGCAGCGCCGGGGCAGGGCCGCGTCCTGGGGCGACGTCTGCGGCGGGCTGGGCAGGGACAGCCGCGGGGGGATGCAGAACTCCGGGATGCGAGCCGGCGTGAGCACGTTGGAGAAGGCGGGCCCCGGGGCGGAGGCGCGGAGTCTCCCGAGGAGCCGCATCCTTGGGATCGTGGGACGGAGGGCAGCCGGGAGGGTAGACTTGCTCCTGCGGGGAGAGGCGGCGCTAAGTCGGGGCGCCTGGGAGCGTCTGGGTCCCCGTGGGACAGGCTGGATCCTCTCCCCGCACCCTCTTCCCCCGCACACCCCCTGACAGCACCCGCACGTCTGTGATAGCGAGCCCTCCCAGCCTCTCGAGCATCCTCACGCCGCCCTCCACCCACCCATTCACCCGTGTAGATACCTGAACACCGAAATCAGACCTTCTCTTAGGCAGTTTTTTTTTTCTCTCCCGAGTGTGGTTGCTAGCACCCAGCTGGGGACCTGTGGAGCACCAGCTTCAGCACTACGGCCGGGACAGTGGCACCCTTTTATATCAAAGCCCGAGTCCCGCCCAGCTGCCAGAAGCCCAATCCCTGGAAGACACAGTTCCGGAGCCTTCCCAAGCCACCCCTGCTTGCCGTCCAAGACAGGTGCACAGGTCTGAGAGTGAGAAAGAGAGAATCCGTCTCTGGGAGCAGACAGCTTCCTATATGGTCTGTATCCGTGCTGAGTGCCAAGTCCAGAGCACAGGGAAACGCTGCAGGTGCCCAGAGGGCACCCTGCCGTCCTGCCAGAGAAGAACTGGCAGCTGAAAACGTTCACAACCTCTCGGACCAGGGGAGGCAGGATGAGGAAACAGGAAGTTCCATTGTCCAGGTGGTTAACCCTCTTCCTCTTCCTGAATGTGACCCCAGGACATTTTGAAGGTACTTCTAGGTACAGATGTCTCTAGAATGAGGATGTGGGTACATGCCGATGAACTCACGGGAAATGGAAACTTAAGTAGAAAAAAAAAATACATCAGCCTCGCTTACCTTAACTTCGTTCAGATCTTTTCCAGGATTCTCAGATGGGGCAAAATCTTCTAACTCGAAGACCGTGTAATGATAAGAGTGCTCGGTATCTCGTAGAATTTATAGACTTCTATATCAAAAGCAAAACACCAGAAAGGCGGATGAGTGGACTTTTACAGCACCCTCCAGTCAAAAATCGTGTAAATGCTGAGCCCAGGGAAGTCCACATTGCCCATCTTCTGCACTGTGAGCTTAAGCCACAGGGCCTGGCTCATTGATTAGATGCCCTGAGTATTGGTGAAGCCAGCGAATAATGGATGCAAACGTTTCTGAAAGGCTTCAAGGTCTGCCAATGTCTTGGTTTTCTCAGAAGATGCGTAAGCTAAGACTTGATGTTTCCAAAGCTACCCTTTTCTTTCTGCTCTAGTGTGGATGGACTTTGCACCTTACAGAGAAACTCAAGTTGCCCTTCCACTTCCTGACCTTCCTTTTTTGAAACGAGAAAGCCAAAACCCCACAGGGAGGTAGGGAAAGTCCTGAGAGGCTACAAAAGAGCTAGCTAATGGCAAAACCTGAAACTATGCCTGGTGCTGGTGGCTCACGCCTGCAATCCTATCTACTTTGGAGGCTGAGAACGTGAGGATTTTAGTCCCAGGCTAGCTTGAGCAGAAAAGTTCTTGAAACCCATTCTCAACCCATCACACCACTATGGTGCAAGCCTGTTATCCCAAGCAACAGGAGAGGCTGAGGTCAAGGAAGGAGATCTTGGTACCAGGCCAGTCAGGGCAGTAAAGTCCCAATCCTCCACAAGGGCAAAGTGGTAAACACCTGTCATACCAGCAACATTGAAGCCTATAGAAGGTAGATTATAGTTCAGGCAAGGGAAGAAAAACCCTATCCAAAATGTACCCAGGGAAATACAGGGCTGGGGATGCAGCTTGAGTGGTTGAGCACCTGCCTAACAAAAATGTAAAACCAGAACTAAGATGTCTGTGATGTCTGTTTATTGGCTTCACATCACATCTCTCTCTCTCTCTCTCTCTCTCTCTCTCTCTCTCTCTCTCTCTCTCTCCCTCTCTCTCACACACACACACACACATCTCTACAGAAAGCAAAAACTGAGAAATAGAATTCTAGGTAAATTTACCTGTTTGTTTCATAATTCAGCCAACTGAATTCCCACTGCAGTTCATCTGCTCCTCCTAATTCCCTGACTCATTCCTTGCAGACACCCTCTCCATTCCACTGTATATTCTAAATTTCACCACTGCTGTGTCTAGCTGCTTTGGAATGTTTGATTATAAGTTTTCTCCCTTAATCAGCTGCTAGTTTCCTATAGGTAAGAAGTGTTGCCTGGCACCAGTGTTACATGTCTGTAATCCTAGCTACCCAAGAGGCTGAGATCTGAGGATTCTGGCTCAAAGGCAGACCAGGCAGGAACGTCCATGAGATTCTTATCTCCAATTAACCAGCAAATAGCTGGAAGTAGAGCTGTGGCTTAGGTAGTAAGGTGCCAGCCTTGAGCAAAAAAGCTCAGAGACAGCATCCAAGCCCTGAGTTCAAGCCCCAATATTGACACACATGCACGCACACACACATAGACACGTGTGTGTGCTTGCACACACACACACACACACACACACATACACACAGAAGTGTGATGAGGTAACCACAGTGGAACTGAGGACCCTGTCATGAATACAGGTAGAATAAATCAAAGTCTGGAGATAACAGATCCTGGGTCTGCTTCCATCCCATCTGCCCTATGCAAGACCAGACTATCTTATTCGTCTCCTATCCAAGTGCATCACCAGCCTATAATGCCAAGCAAATAGTAAGGACTCAATAAATATTTGATGAATTATATTGCATTTACTTGATTCTGATCTGCCGTTTAGGTCTCATGACTATCAGGTGCTTCCAGCCGCACAGCTTTCTGGCCATACTATCTCTCCTTTCTTCCTCCAATGAACCAGTGAGGCAGATGTTACTATTTGCCAGATGAGAAACTGAGGGTAGGGCTAAGGGACATGTCTGAGGCCAACCCATTGGTGGAAAATGAATCAGCCCACCTCTCTGTCCTATGGGGCTTCTGTCTTTTCTCCATCCATTAACCTAAGGCATATGGTTCGCTGAGTCCTTTGGCATGCCATGTTGTGTGTGACTTCTATAGCAAGTGCCACACTGAATGTTAATTCTTAAAACAACCCAGTCTACTATTGAGCATTTTCCACAGTCCTTGTTGGGGAATGAGCCCCATTATTGCTAAGTTTTTAAAGTTGAGGAGAAGTGAGTTTCTTTACGGTGTTGATAATGAGTGATTTGTTTCCTGACTGCTCACTGTTCCCTAGTATACGCTGTGTGGGTATGTGTGCATGCACATGTGCATATGCACCAGCCCTGAGGCTTTAACTCAGGGCCTACGTGCTGTCCATGAGCTTTTGTGCTCAAGGCTAGCACTCTACCACTTGAGCCAAAGCTTTACTTCTGACTTTCTGCTAGTTAATTGGACATAAAAGGTCTCAGTCCTCGGGTCTCAGCCTCCTGAGTAGCTAGGATTGCAGGTGTGAGCCACCAGTGCTTGGTTAGTATATGCTTTTTAATTTTTTTATTGTAAAGGTGATGTACAGAGGGGTTACAGTTACATAAGTCAGGTATTGAGTACATTTCTTTTTGAACAGTGACACTCCTTCCCTCATTTTCTCCCAGGTTTTTCTCTCCCAGCTCCCTTCCCCTCCTCCCAAGTTGTTTAGTTCATTTCTGGCATAGTGTCTAGTATCACTGCTTGTATATGCTTGTTGATGGGGCAAGTATCAGTGTGCCTGCAGCCACGAAGGCCCTTTCTACTCAAGCCAAATTCTCAGGCAGAGTGGTGTCCTCAGGAGCTACACCCTCATTTCTCCAACCCAGACTTAACTGGATCCCAAGTTTATAGGCTTTTCCCAGAGTTAACTGGATCCCAAGTTTACAGGCTTATATTTCTCCTGTATAATGGTTATCATTTCCACCTGTGTATATTCCTACGTGTAGGAATGGCTTATTACATCACATGAATAATACCAGATAGGTATCCTTTCCTAAATTTCTTTTAGCATCATTCCTTGATTTGTGTCATTCTTCAGTATACCACAGGGGTCAATAATAGAGAATACAAGTGAGCTAGCAAGTGGGGGGCTCCTTGTTTTGGTGAAATACATTGTAAAATGAATACCTCAATAAAATGCATCCTAGAAGTATTTTCAATTGATTAAGAACTTCTTATCAACATTAAAAAATTAGGACATAAATATTTCCATCTATGTTTTAAAATTACTGAGATATTACTGAGATCCAACCTTATCACTGTTCATGTTGGAACTTCAGAAAAGACAAAATACATCTCAGTTTTTATTTCATCTTCTCAAGCTATTTTTGTTCATCATTAAAGTAAAACTTGGGTTACAAACCAAATCCACTGTCTCTGTTCTAAGAACTTTGGTTAGACACAGATAGTGATTGTTGAGCTCTAAATGCCTGTCTTCCACTTTCAATGCAATCTGATGGCAGAAGAAAACACAAAATAAAATTGAAAAAATATCATTTGTAAATTAATTCTTGGGATGTTTAAAAATCATTCCTCACACTTAAGCTTCCTGCCAAGTTGGGATGACAGGTTCAGGAGACCATGCCTAGCACTTGAAGGTGGGCCTTACTGATATTTACTGTACTGGAACCATGTGAACCATGTTCCTCCAGATATTACAACCTGAGTAGGTTAAGTATCATTCCCAGCTACAATGGCTCTTAAGATACTATGTGTGCAACACTTGTATAAAAACTTTAAAGTATACTTTAAAGTTATATATATTCAAAATGACAATGCACTACTCCCAAGAGATATGAAAGATATGAAGTGAGGCTGTGAGGCTCTGGACTCATGGATCAGATGGGATGTGCTCTCCATACACTGAATCTCCAGGCACCATGATCTTGACTGGTCAATAGTCAAAAGTGTGAAAAGGCAACTATCTTTGTTACAGTCTAAGATGATTTGTTACAATGGCATAAATATATCCAACCACTGCATTTTGATGTGGACACACTGGAAAGGTCTCTCCTTAGGCCAATGAGACCCCCCTAAACTTCAGTTTCCACAACCCAGTGACACATAGGGCTTTGGCAGTTTAGTCTTATGCTTCTTGCTTTCAGATGGGTGAATTCTGTGAGGACCAAAAGTGAGAAAATTATTGCAGGTTCTATCCAGCCATGATTGGCACAGTCAAGATCTACCTCATAAGGAGCAATTGTGAGATTTGTGCAATCACCAAGTACTTAAGGCGAAGCCTGAGGCTGATTCTTGACCTTTGTTGGCAAAAACCTTGTGAAATACCCTCATGGAAGGCATTTCATTTGGTGATACTGGACATTTCTACATTGCTTGGTAAGATGCTGTTCCTATTGATGATTTGGACTTTGGGTATGAGGGGGTCATTTACATTTTTCTGGCTGGGCATTTACTTGTTTCATTTTATGTGTTATAATTCACATTTATACAGTGTACAAAATAAAAGGTTAATATTTCCTTACATGTTTTTCCTTATTTTTACCTGCCTCTGTTTTTTTTTTTTAAACTGATACTGGACATTTCTATATTATTTGGTGAGATGCTGGGGTTTTTTTGTTATTGATGGTTTGTACTTTGGGTCATTTGTACTTATTTTTTGACTGTGTGTTTCCTTGTCTCATTTTATGTGTTATAATTCACATTGATTCATTGTACAAATAAGGAGCTAATTATAACATTCCCATATAGTGATT